GCCTGGGCGTCTATTGTCTCATGTAGTCTGGAAGACGAGTGGATGGTGGGGTGGGTGCAGTTTTCTCTGTGGTGGGGTTGGGTGGACTGTCCCGGGCTCTGTGGGGCCGGGGGGCACTGCCGCGCTGGGCCCCGGTCTGGATGAGCCTGGGCCCCCTTTTCCCTGGCGGGTCGCGGAGTGTGGGAGTGCCTACTGGGGTCAGCGGGGGAGCTGGCCCCAGGGAGGGTCACTGCCCCTCCCTTCCTTTCCTCCCCATCTCCAGCTGCCTCCCTCCTCCCGCTCCACCACAGCCACCCACACATGCAGGGCCTTGGAGTAGGGGTATGTCACCAGGATGCAGAGGAGGCTACCCCCCCCCCCCCCCCCCCCCCCTCTGTCCCCTTCTGGCTGCCTCTGCCTCAATTTTATCCCACAACTTAGACATTCACATTACTCACACCCTCATTACACATACATATAGGATCTTGGGGTGGTTGAGTGTGAAGTGCACATGAGAGCATGAGGGTGGGAATGGATGTTTGTGTTTGTGTGTGCCTGTATGTTTGTATCTATATGTCAGGTTGGGTATCAGACGCGACCTCTCTGGGGACATCTCGGGCCTTCCAAGGTTTGGAGGCCTATCTCCACCCACCACCACTTCCCCTGCCGGTGGCGGACTCCCTCAGGTGTCGGTGCGTTGGTGGTTCTTTGTATCTGGGGGTGGGCGTCCGGGTACACACCGGCTCACTCCTTGGCGGCCGCTTATTGGGGCTCGCTCGGGCCATTTCGGAGGTGGGGTGCCCCCGGCCTCTTGGCCTGGGGCTCGGTCACTCAGGCACAGCTGGCTGCCGGCGGAGCCCACGGGCGCGTCACTGCAACTCCCCCTGGCTTCTGCTCCGCGGCTGCTGAATGAGCCCTCATCTGGGACTCTCCTTAGCTCTAACTGGGACAGTGGCGCAGCTGCCCCTCTGTGGGTCTTCCTTGGTCTCTTGTGTTCTGGGGGCCTCTGGATGTCTGGAGTTTTGATCTCCTCCATACCCGCTTGATACCATAAAGGACGGGGCTGTGGCTCCCCACACTCCCTAACAGATCATTACATGGAGAAACCTTTGGAATGCAAGCATGCTGATCCACACAGGTATGCACACATGGGTATTCACAGACGCGGACTAAAGCTTTCTTGGCTGCTGCCTCAAAGCACACTGTGCGCTGTCTATCTTGCGTGCTGCACAATATCGTTTATTATTTAGTAAATATTGATATCTATGACTAGCTAGTTTATTGTGATGGTGCTTTGTTTTCTCTATTATTATGTTGCTCTTTGTTGTTTGCTGTCTCCTCTGTTTGTTTGTTTGTTTTTTTTTCTCCATACAGGTGACCCAGGAGTTCTTTTTTTTTCTTCTCTCTCTTCCCCCCTTCTCACCGTCTCTTCTCCCCTTTGGTTTTCTTTCTTTCTCTCCCCCTCTTTCTCTCATTCATTCCCCCTGTCCTATTTATTAAAAAAAAAAAAAAAAAAAAAAAAAAAAAGATGACAAAGGATGAACTGAAGCTCCACCATCACGTGATGTCACATGCTGCTGTTTCTGATGTCACTTAAAAAAAAAAAAAAAAAGTGGTATTCAGAATACAGTTACTTTGTTGAAATAAATGGATTACACTGCGGTACTTTCCTGTTTCATCTTGTCGCGGGCCAGGACTGTTTGGGTTTGTTTGACAGCTACGTTCTGTTGTTCCAGGCGGCAGCGTTACGGTTGCCATGGTTACAGGGTGACGCTCTCTCTCTCTGCGCGTTTCCTGGGTGAGAGAGCGCCTTTTTGTTGTTGCTGTTGTTGTTGTTGTGCTAAGCTAACAGGCAGAATGCTACAGGTATAGCTCTAAAGAATGTAGCCTGATGGGCAGTGTAGTCCGTGCTGCAGGGAGAATTGGCTGTCATACCCGTTATGTGTCTGTGAGCGAGGGCGGGAGAAAAAGGAAAAGTACGAGTTGTCATTGAGCAAAAACGGGAGCTGGAAGCATGTAAATATAATAATAACCACTTCAGCCAAGAAGAGAGCCTGACGAGCCCAGCTGTAAGTAAGCTATTAAGACTCGACTGTACACCGTGTTCCTGTTTTCCTCCGAAACAATAAGTTCCGTTGGAGCAGCCTTTCAACGCATCTCTCTGTCTCTCGCTAGCAAAGTTGACCCAGACAACAGAGTAAAGCTAGTTTTCAGCCAGAGGTCCCTTTACTACGGTTCGGCGCCGCGGACCTTCAGTAATAGTAATAAATCACAGCAATAGTACATTCATGTGTTAGGAGGTGGTGGGTAGGTGTATTGTTGTTGTTTGGGTTTTGTTTTCCTTTTTGGCATGGGTAGGCGAGGCGGGGATTGATGGCAGTCCGGCACACCTGCGGCACATCGGACGTCATCAGTGAGCGCTTTTATGGAGCCGAGTCACGGACGTCTGGTGTCGGAGTATTGCTGCTGTCACAAGTGGTAACGTGTTAGTGCAAGCTGAATCTGCTGATTCCACGCTGTGGAGCTGCATGTTTTAAGGATCCACTTTTTGCCTGCTTCTCTTTTGTTTTAGCCTGTTCCGCTGCCTGCTCGCCTGCCTTGTTTTTGGTGTTGGCTACTGTGGATCCGCGATGGAGAGCTACGTTCCATCAGGCTGTGATCACTGCTGCAGCTGTAGTTTGTGTTTCAAGTAAGCTCTCCAACTCTCCCCGTCCACTTTTGTTTAACTTTCGGCTATCAACGGTACTCCGTAAACTCTGTTTTGTTCCTCGTTGTTAGGTAGCTCCGGTGCGTCATCTGCCTACCTGCATACCTCGGCTTCGTCTCATCTCTTCGGTGTTACTCTCCTGGCACATTTTTATCTGTCACTGTATATAGCCCCCTTCCTTGTAAATATTCCCTATTCTGGTATATAAACTTGCATCACAACTATCCTGTGCCCGTGTGTGTTTCTGCCACTTAATCCATCCGTGTAAGATTACCTAACATCATGTAGTTGTAAACAGCATGATAATATGTTAAGTAATCAAAAGTATTCAGAATACGTTACTCTCATCGAATAACGTAATGGAATACGTTACAGAATACATTTTGGGGCATGTATTCTGTAATCTGTAATGGAATACATTTTAAAACTAACCTTCCCAAAACTGTTGGTGGCACTGCACTCAATTGGTTAGGTTTATTTGTCAGAACTTTCTCTGTCAGCCTTCTCGGTTCCAAATCATCTTCTGCTCCTCTGTCATGCGGCGTCCCACAGGGTTCAATTTTAGGGCCATTGCTCGTTTTACTGTATTTATTGCCTCTGGGTTCCATCTTTAGAAGGCATGGGATCGCATTTCATTGTTATGCCGATGACTGAGAAATTCATTTGCCACTGAAGCAGAAGGGTGTCATCTGCATAAAACCTCTCATGACATGCCTAGATGACATTAAAGCTTGGTTGGCTCTAAACTTTTTAAATTTTAATAAAAAGAAAACAGAGTTGTTGGTGTTTGGACCCAGTGGTCCCTGTGAGTCCTCCTCTGTAGATTTGGGACCCCTGGAAGTCTATTTTAAATCTGTTGTTACTGATCTTGGTTTTAAGTTGGACGTGATTTGAAATTGGAGAACCAAATCAGAGCAGTGGTGAAGTCCAGTTTTCATCATTTAAGGCGACTGGCAAATCTTTTCTTTCACAGCAGCATCTTGAAACAGTGATCCATGCTTTTATTTCTTCTCACCTGGACTATAACGCACTTTATGTGGGGGTCAGTCAGTCATTGCTCTCACGTCTGCAGCTGGTTCAAAATGCGGCTGCACGACTCCTAACAGGAACTTGTAAAAGAGAGCATATAACCCCTGTGCTGGCCTCCCTGCACTGGCTGCCTGTGTCTTTTAGAGTTCATTTTAAAATTTGTGCCGTTTGTCTTTAAATGCCTTCACAGTCTTGACCCGCTTTAGGTCTCTGAGCTTCTTCATCTCCACACACCGTGTCAGTCTCAGGTCAGCTGACCAGCTGTTCCTGGAGCTACCGAGATCCAGGAGGATTTTATTTTTTCTTTCTTTTATTTGGCTTTTATTTATACCTTATGTAATTTTATTGGGGGGGTTGGATTTCACAAGGAAGTCAAACAAAATGCAGTAATTTGCAAAACATGCTGCTAAACACAGCAGTACTACAAATTATTCCACCTGCTGAAAAGTGGATCTAATGTGGGCGGACTCACACTTAGCAAATAAACCTGTGATGTGAGAATGTAATCAAACTGTTGATCAGAGGCAAAGTAATTTAAAGTTTATGATGCTATCGTCTAATGTTAGCTGACATGATGTTAGCTTGTAAACTTATGTTGTTGTCTGGGTCTCATGTCTGATCTGATGATAATAACTGTGACAACACAGAGATTAAATAAAGGACGTTGGTGGGACTTCTTATGTTAGAACTATAACTTCAGTTAAGGAGTGAGACGTAAGGTGACAAGGAGAATGAAGAGAATGAGAAAGAAGTAACTGGGAAGAGAAAATGAAAACACAAATTTGAAATGATCAAATTTGTGTTAACAGATGATGTGATTTTAAAGATTCAAGTAATTTAAAGTTTTTATCCTATTTGTTGTTGTTTTTTTCATATTCTTCTATTTGCAAGAGGTTATTAATAAAACAGGTTCTCTTTCTGGTTTCTCTTTTTGGACGCACTCTCTACATCTCATCACATCCAAAATGGGGGATGTCAAGTACAAAACCTCGACAGAAACAATCAGCAAGAATTTTAGCATCAGTCCAAAATAAAACTGTCCAACTACAGAGTTTTAAAATCCAACTAAACTATGAACAGAGATCTTTTACAAATAGGCTATTGATGAGATGACAGTGGTAACAAAAATGTACACATCCGCGCACACAGACAAAATGGCGGGAGAGCGTTTAACGGTCGACCTCATGAGTCCGTTACCGTGAACTATGGAGCGGCAGATTTGTGCTGGAACTGAGCTGCACACAGCTGATGTTAGCCAGGAAACATTACACACTGCTAACGTTACCTTCACACGGAGCTCCACACGGAGACGATCAGCGTCAGGCACAAACACCAAGTTCAGAAAAGAGGAACTTTGAGCAGGAAGGAAAGAGTCAGAGCGGCGTTTGAGGACACGTTTACAACCACGAACATCAGAATCTGTCTTTGCTGCATTCAAGTGCAAGTTGGAAACTCACTAATCTCTGTCATGTTGTCCAAAGATGATTTATTTCTGCTGGTTTTCTTGTTTGAAACACAAACATGTGTCAGCACTTTGTTGTTCTTCACCCTGCAGCATTTGAATATTTCAGGAGTAAACTGATCATAAATTCATGAAGTCATGACTGAAAGTGCAGACTGAGAGTGGATCACATGATGTTTGAGGTGTGTCATGTGACATGTTCAGTATTGTCACACATGTCTAGATTGTCCCTGATATCATAACTGCTCAAACACTGATGATTATATTTGAAGAATTATTCCTGATGGCAGCAAAGTTTGAATGGAGCTCTCTGTCTGTGCTGATTTGTCGCCCTCTGGAGGTCAAAGCACAAACTGCATGATGTCACTGTAACCACCACAGTGACAGGAAGTGTTTTTAAATGATGAAATATGTCAGTGATGCTGATAGTGTGTTCATCACAGACGCTCAGGCTGACATGAATCAAAGTTAATGTCATTATGGACCAAGGACAGTACTCTGGGTCTCCTGCAGAACAACTCGAGCTGTGATACCTGAATGAAGAGCCTCTGCTGCTTTAAAGAAGGAGGCTCGAGGCAGAGGTGAGGTGCAGACCAACCAGCTTTTATTCAGCAACTTTAACAGAAGGATCAGAAAAATAAAACTATACAGCACAGTGATGCTGACTGAAGCCACAGCATTAAACTAAACAAGCATCTGATCATCTTTAACAACATCTAATAAATCATGACAACTATTTAATCCTGTATTTCCTACAATAAAGCCTGTTCAGATATTTGTTGCTGATGGAAATGTAAAAGGCTCCCAGGAACCAAAGGACAAAAACAGAGGCAACAGTCACAGCTGCAAAGGATCCCCTAACACATAAACTGGTTCGAAGATATTTTCTAGCTCTGCAGAGGAGCTTGATTGCACGGACAGTAAAAAGTGGATTCAATAACAGCAGCGAGCGCTGAGTGATATAACGGTGCTGCGAGCAGCAGTGCAAAGGCTCACACAGAGACAGCAGCTACACTGTGTGTGGATGTGATCCACAGTCACAGCTGTGGGTTTCAGTCAGTGTGTCTCTAACTTCATGGTCACATTTCAAAGCTTATTGGAGCCAGAAGATGTTCAAGTAAAAGATTTATTGCTGTACTCGTCTACCAGGATAACAGGAGGTTCATAAAGCTGTGTAATACTTCAGCTTTCCATCATGGAGTAGTAGTTGTGTCCCTTTGTGTTTATTAGTGTGTTCACACGTCTACTTTAACTTCACTCTGTAATGAAAGGATTCAAATCACTGATAAATACTGTGAGATTATTCTGTTATTATATGTTACCTTATATATGTAATCAAAATAGTTGAATTATGTTAACTGCTGTAGACCATATTATACAATTTAATATAGAGTGTGTGATTAGTATGTAGTTTTAGTTTGCATTATACTTCTGACTTAAAAGATTGTGAAAATCATTCGATCTATTGGTTTGACCTGTATTACTCAACACTGTTGAATGTATTACATTGTTTCTTGACATGTTTTACTGCTGAATCATGAAGAGAATGTTGTGTGCAGAGGACCTTCTCCAGATAATAGAAGAAACAGACCACATTCCTTTGGTGAAGAGCAGAAAGACAGAGAGCCGAGGTCATAAATTTAGGCGCCGTAAAGATAGAAAGAATGTGATGTTTGGTCTTTTACGACCAGGTGGGGGCCACTAGAGAGTATAAAAAGCTGTGTAACCCGTCACCACTTTGAGACATGTGCCTGACCCTCTGGTAGCATCTCTCCCCATCATGATGGTTCAAATGCTCATATGTGTTGAATTATATGAAAATAAATGATTGTTGATTGAGCATTTATACACCGAGTATTGTCCTTCCTTCAGCCCAAAGATTCAAAGAATTGGGAGATTTCAACAACTTGGTGCCGTGTGACCCGGATCTTTGGTGTGCTGAGGAGGTGCAGATTTGGCCTTTGGTGAGATCGTGAGGCGAGGTGAACAGAGGACCGGTCCAAAAATAAAAAGGTAAGCACAGCCTGTTGTATTATAAATACCAAATGTGCATACTGGGCTTTCCAAATTAATCTGTTCACTGAGTCACATGTATTTTCACATTAAATTTGTCGGTGTCTGGTTTTTAAGTTGAGGCTGAATTCCAGTGTGTTAAATAACGAGATACTAATAACATACTACGTTGGACTAGTTGCAGCCACTTTACCTTCCACATTCAATTTTGTCTAATACTGGCTTCTGTAGCAATAATACATTAGAATTTCTTCTGAAGACGCGGCCATAGTTCAGTACATTGAAGTCGAGGTTTGAAGTTTGTTTATGGTGTCGGTTACGTCCTGGCTCTTGCCGGTCATGAAATAGAAGTTGATTTAAGGAAAAGCAGATGCTGGCACACGGTGCAGTTGAACGCTGGCAACGCGAGAGCGAAACACGTCCGTAGGTTTGGTTTATGATACGGCGTGTTCCGGTGGTGCGGCCGTGGAGTGCAGTAGTGGTTGGTGCTAGTTTAGTACATTGAACAGAGGTTTGACGGTGGTTTGTGGCGTCAGTCGAGTTTTTTTTTAAGGGCTGCGGTCATAAAACAAAGTAAAATTTTACTTGCCAAGAAGTACATAGAGCAAAACCTGGTTTATGGTGTCAGTATAACTTCAGGGGATGCAAGCATCACGTTTATGATGCGACTTTGCCCCGTTGTGGCGGCCATAAGCGCAGAGAAAGGGGTATTTTGGTCTATGGTGCAGTGTGCTTTAAGAAGATCTAATAGTTGAGCTCAGAGGTTTCTGTGCAAATTTCTGCTGATGAGAGGCGCTCTCTGTGTGTCTCACTGATGGTGAAACGCGCTGTGTGTGTAAGGCGCGCTCTGGCTGTGGGTGAGGCGCGCGCTGAGTGTGCTTTTTGTGTGTGTGAAGTCTGAACACAGTGACAGTGACGGTTGATGTGTTTGATTAGGAGGACGCTAGAGCAAAGACACATTTTAGGATCAAAGGTTGATGCCTAGTGTACCTGCGGAAATAATTTTGTTCAAGGTTTGGCAACCCCCCTGTCTGTAGACGTGCAGGCAGGTTAAGTGCCGAGGTGGCGACTTGGGAACTGAGGACTCCCGCATCAGCTACGGAAATAACACTGGGACCGCAGCGTAATCACGGGTTCACATTTATTCTGGACTAGAACAAGACACATTTTGCGAACAAAGGTTGAGTCTAGATTAGTAAAGAAATAAAAAGGTTGAATTCCTCGTTTCAGTGGTTGAAATTGTTGTGTGCCTGTCCCCTGACGAGTGTGAAATTAGAATAAAGAGGGAATTTGGAGCCACATAGAGATAGACGGGCATAATTGGGTGTATTACTCTGTGGTGTAATAAAAATAAAAAGGAGAGATAGTAAGAGGTGTGTAGTGGAGAATTATGGAGGAGTAGAGAGAGGAATGTGTTGGGAGACTGGCGTGCAGTTTACGCTGTCAAGGTAGGCGTGTTGCCTGCTTATCTGTTTAACATGTGATGAAAATGAAATTAAATAAATCTCTTACGGTGTGTTCACACCGAACGCGATGGACGCGAATAAAACGCCCCAAACGCCCCTAATTTGACGCGTGTACATTCGCGTCTCAACGCGTGTCCAAGAAAAATCCATCGCGCGTCAAAATATCATATTTTGACGCGCGTGAACCGGAAATGTGGGAGGAATGTGGGAGGGAGTTGTGCCAGACCTGGTTTTGCAAGATGGCAGCTATCGAGCTAGCGCTTGAAGAGAGAGTCTCCCTTCTCTATGTACTGTGGAGAGCAGAGCAGCAGCGTAAAAGACGTCCTCGCCGTACCTGGGTCCATCAGGTCCTCCAGGCGCGTGAGCAGTTTGGTGAGTTTCACCATTTGCTCCAGGAGCTGCGCCTGGATGACGGCAGATTCCAGCGATATCATCGTCTGTCACCCGGCCAGTTTGAGGACCTGCTTTCCCGCGTCGGTCCCAGAATCGCCCGCCTAGACACCAATTACAGGCGCTCAATCCCACCTGCAGAGCGCCTGTCCGTCTGCCTGAGGTTAGTAAAAGTGGTCAATACGGTAGTCCTTTATTGATACCTGTGCTAATATATGCTAAACCATCCATTTATACACTGCTAACATGGATGTGCTATGCTAACAGTGAATGCTGTCGGCGTTTACTGATGGCATAGCACATCCATGTTAGCAGTGTATCGTGTATACACTGCTAACATGGATGTGCTAACATGGATGTGCTATAACAGTGAATGCTGTCGGCGTGTATAAACTATCGTTTATAAACTATCGTTTATACACTGCTAACATGGATGTGCTATGCTAACAGTGAATGCTGTCGGCGTTTACTGATGGCATAGCACATCCATGTTAGCAGTGTATCGTGTATACACTGCTAACATGGATGTGCTATAACAGTGAATGCTGTCGGCGTGTATAAACTATTGTTTATACACTGCTAACATGGATGTGCTATGCTAACAGTGAATGCTGTCGGCGTTTACTGATGGCATAGCACATCCATGTTAGCAGTGTATCGTGTATACACTGCTAACATGGATGTGCTATAACAGTGAATGCTGTCGGCGTGTATAAACTATCGTTTATACACTGCTAACATGGATGTGCTATGCTAACAGTGAATGCTGTCGGCGTTTACTGATGGCATAGCACATCCATGTTAGCAGTGTATCGTTTATACACTGCTAACATGGATGTGCTATGCTAACAGTGAATGCTCTCGGTGTTTACCGATAGCAAACTGGTACTGTTTATAATATTTCTAGTGATACTCAGATGGTCTCATCAAGTCCCGATTTAATTCGATTTATGCTGTTATCAGTGGTTGAATGATAGCATGGCTGTGGTGTCATAGGTATGCTCTCGGTGTTTGCTGATATCAAACTGGTATTAGGACCACTGTGGGTTAATCTTTGTAGTGATACACACTCCT